CCCTCCGGAAGTTCCCATGCCGGCGGCTGCCGCGCTCGAACCTGACCCAGGATGGGGCCCAGCGGCGGCCCGGACGTAGCCTGGCCCGCCCGCACAATGGTCCGGATCACGCCTTCGGGTTCGGACTTCCTGAGGACCCGAGTAGCCCTGCTGAGCTTGGACATGACGGACAATCCTGCCGTCGGTTCGCCTCACAGCAGAAGTCACAGCGACGCTCTGGGCACCGCCATCTTGGGTCAGAGGTCAAAGGGCCTCGTAAGGTCCTTACCTTAAATTAACAAATAGCAATGTTGCTCAGGTTTTCCACTCACGCAAAGCAAGGAGGGCGCGAGGAAGAGAACAACTTTTAATTTATCAAACAGGGAGCCTTCCTTAGGAAAAGACATGGCGATCAGCATCCTTAAAGATTACAGCTTTAGGGCACCTATCGGGTCGTACTACTCTGTCCTACGGGGTATAGTTGTCATTGACTCAGTAAAAACAGCTGTTTTTCTTTTTAGTTTCTGTATATAAGGATTCAAATGGACTCATTACGCACATTTTTTCCAGGAATGCAAACAGGCAGCGGCCCGGACAGCTATATAAAAGGGCCAAAACCTGGCGCCCGCACTGCATTGTGGGTACTGTAGTTTTTACGCTAACCCCACCCCCGCCAAGCCTTCAGCATGCTGAGTGCTGGGCTGCCGTCTGATGGCCATCATAATCTTTGGCCTTGAAATTAACCTGTTGGTGGGTGCCCACTGATTGCTTGAAACTCATAGTGACCCCAAGGGACAAAGTTGGACTGCGGCATAGGCTTTTCTCCACACCCATTCAATAAAGCAGGAGCTCTGGTGGCTCAGTGGAAGAGTTGCACTGCAACACAAAAGTCACAGAGTTCGGATCCACTAGCTGCTCCCCAGGAGAAAGATGAGCAATCTCCTTAAGTGTAATTTACAGCTTCCTGAAAACTTCCGCTGTATCCACTCCATCACATTACTGACCCGCTCTAGCTGACTTTCCGTTGAGTGTCTGAGTCTGTAAATCATGGATTAAGATCGCCTCCCCCCTTATAATAATTTTTATTGATAGATAAAACTATATAAAATCAGCATGAACATGACTTGATAAATTAAGTAGACTTAATTTCAAAAAAATATGAATTTTTTTGACACAAATTTGCGTGTCATCCTTGCACAGGGGCAATGCCAACCTTCTCTGTATCCCGATTTTAGCATACGCGCTGCCAAAGTGAGCACATCACTTTTTTTCCCCCCTGAGGCGACTGGTGGATTCAAACCCCAAGCAAGGCATGGTCTTTGGGTTAGAAACCCAGTGCTGAACAAATAATCCAAGAAGCTAGACTATGAAGAAAAATACAGAACATTAATAAACAAAATAGCACAACTTTGCATATAGGAAACGAAAAGACTTGAAGCATTTCCTAAACATCAAAGATTGACTGAACTGTGCCTGTTCCAGGCCATGGTCTTCTCAAACGCTTACTGGACAGTGACTAAGGATGACAGAAGCAGCATCGATGTCTTTGAGTTGTGGTACTGGAGTATTGAACACACCAAGAACTGCCAAGAAAACAAGTCTGTCCTGGAGAGGGAGAAACCAAGTTGTTCTTTGTAAGCAAGAATTTTTAAACTCAGTCTCACATACTTTCTCCATGTTGCCAGGAGGGATCAGTCCTTGGGGAAGGACATTATGCTTAGAAGGATAGAGGGACAGCACAGGAAAGGAAGCCTGGATGAGATGGATTGACACAGTGATTGTGGCAATGAAGGAAGGTGTATCAGAGATGGTGACGTGGACTCCAGAAAGAGTAGGATTCAGAGCCATTGTTCATAAGGTCACTATGACTCATAGTCCACCTGACAGCACATAACAACAAGTTTGATACATTGTGCCCGATACAATGAAATATTGCATCCATTAACTTTTTTTTTGAGCAGTTGCCTATGCTAGCCACTGTGATGAACTTCTTAAGGGCACTATCTTCTCATTTAATCCACATAATCAATGAGGGTATCATGGACTGCTAAGAAAACAAACAGATTCATCCTGGAGAGGGTTAAACCGGGCTGCACTTTGGAGGCCAGGATTCTGAGACTTCGTCTGACATACTTTGGTCATGTTGTAAGGAGGGACCGGTCCTTGGAGAAGGACATCATGCTTGGGAGTGTGGAGGGCAGGCGCAGGAGGGGAAGGCCCTCTGGGAGGTGGATTGATTCGGTGACTGGGGCAATCGGGATGAGTGTGTCAGAGAGTGCGATTGGCACAGGACAGCAGAGTTTAGAGCTGTTGAGTTGCAGGCAACTCGATGGCACATAAAAACAACAACAACAACAATCAAACTCATTGCTATCAAGTCTATTCTGATGCCAGGGAAACCCCCCTTCAGGTTTCTGAGACTGTAAATTGTGATAAGGTGGAGACTACCTATTTTTCTTCCTTGGAATCACTTTGGGATTCGAACCACTGTAGACACAGCTTTTGGGCTAGCAGCACAACACTCTATGGACTATACCACCAGAGCTTCCTGTTCATACAATGGCATAAAGCAATCATTTTTATTATATCCATTTCACAAATGAGAAATTTAAGGCTCTCAAAGGTGGCCAGGGACTTACAGGTGACTGGGGTTTAGGAAACAAATCTTGGGATCATCTAACTCTAAAACTTGTGCTCTATTTAACTGCATCTCTGTTCTGCCTCATTTAGTAAAATTAAAACTGTGCTGTAAACTGTGAGAAACTTTAAGCACAGTTGTTTAAATTATGAGTTCTCCCAGCCTCACAGGAATTAAATGTGACTATCTCTGCCTCTAAAGTCTAGCAAGGCCTTTATAACTCTCAACTTTGTTAGACTTGGAATTCCCCACTGTGCAAATGGTCGACATGCTTGGCTACTTTTTAAGAGGTTGATTGTTCAAAATAACCATCAAACACCCTGAGAAGGGGGAGCTCTGGTGGCCTAGTGGCAAGGAGCTGCAACTACAATCCCAGAGGCTCACGGTTCGAATCCACCAGATGCTCTGCCGGGGAAGGAGGGACAATCTCCTCCTGTACCAGTCAGATCTGATTTGACGGTACACACACACAAAAATAATAAAATAAATTTAAAAAAACACCCTGAGAAGCATGGTTCTGCCACACACATGGGTTTGCTGTCTGCCATAGTCAACCTGGTCACTGGTGGTTCTTTGTTTTATCAGGACTTGATCCCAGGCTGGCTCTCTTAGGTGTAACATTTTGGGCAAGAACGTTAACCTCTGCATGGAACTATGTCCTCACTAGGAGAATGGGATTAATATCTTTGAGCTGTGGTTCTGGAGAAGAGTGTTGAATATACCATGGACTGCTAGGAGAACAAACAGGTTCTTCCTAGAGAGGGTAAAACCAGACTGCTCCTTGGAGGCAAGGATTCTGAAGCTACTTTGGGCATACTGCAAGGAGAGACCAGTCCTTGGAGAGGGACATGATGTTTGGGAGGGTTGAGGGACAGCACAAAAGAGGAAGACCCTGGATGAGACCAATTGACTCAGTAACTGGAGTAATGGGGGTAGGTGTGTCAGAGACAATGATATTGGGTCAGGATAGAGCAGGGTTCAGGGCTGTTGTGCATAGCGTTGCTATGAGTTGCAAGCAACTCAGCGGCATATAACAACAACACAATGGGAGTAGGTATGTTTTCCCTTTTTTTGCTGAAGTAAAAAAGAGCTGAACAGAAGACTCAAAGGTCAGTCAGGAAGACAAAGCAAAGTATTCCAATGGAGTATGCAGAGAGCTGGAACTGGAGAATAAAAAGGGGGAAACTTGCTCTGCATTTCTCAAGTGGAGAAAACTTGAAAACAAATTTAAGCCTCGAGTTGCAATATTGAAAGATGCTATGGGCAATATATTGAATGACCCAGGAAGCATCAAAAGAAGATGGAGGGAACACACAGAATCACTGTACCAGAAAGAAGTGAATGACACGGAAAACATTCAAGAAGTACCATATGAACAGGAGCCACTGGTAATGGAGGAGGAAGTAGAAGCTGCATTGAAGGCATTGGTAAAAAATAAGGCCCCAGGAATCAATGGGATATCAACTTGTTTCAGTTAACGGATGCAGCCCTAGATATGTTTCCCAGTCTATGGCAGGAAATTTGGAGGACAGTTGTCTAGAAAATAGATTGGAAGGAGTCCATATTTGTTCCCTTTCCCATAAAAAAATATTCAACAGAAGGTGTTAACCATAAAACAATATCACATGCAGGCAAAATACTGTCGATCATTTAAAAACCGCTAGAACCGTACATAAATAGGGGGACTGCCAGAAGTTCAAGCAGGATGATGTCAGATGGATCCTGCTGAAAGTAAAGAATACCCGAAGAATGTCTACTTATGCTTTATTGACTATGCAAATGCATTTGACTGTGTGGATCAGAACAACTTATGGCTGACATTGAGAAGAATGGGAATCCCAGGAAAACTGTCAACAAACTTCATCTTACTTGGTACCAGCAATCAGGAAATAAGATGTATTGCACTGAGAAAATCTGCAATCAGAGACCTCTCCATACTATTGAGGAACAGTGGTTTTAGTTTGAGGACTGAGATGCTTCTGATTCAGGCCATGGTTTTTCCAATCACTTGTTATGCATCAGAGAGCTGGATAATGAATAAGGATGACAGAGAACTGATGCTTTCAAGCTGTGATGTTGGAAAAGAGTACTGAACATCTCATGGACTGCCAGAAGAAATAACGAATATTTCTTGGAGAATGTGCAGCCAGAGTATACCTTGGAGGCAAAGATTGTAAAGCTTTGCCTCACATACTTCGTGCAAGTTGCTAGGAGAGGCTATTCTTTGGAGAGGGACGTGATGCTCAGAAAGGTGGAGGGTTGGCGAAGGAAAGGAAGACCCTCAACCAGGTAGATTGACACGACTTCCACAATGATTGCTAATGTGTCAGGAAGGGTGAGAATGGCAGATATATTGTTCGTAGAGTTTCTACTCGACTCAACAGTACTTAACAAGCTAACAACAAAATGGGATTTGGGATACTATCTATCTCATGGACATTATTTCCTTCACGTAAACCACTTGAATGAGGCCCTGAACCCGAGTGAGCCAGGCTCAGGCTGACCTGTCTCCATAAGCTAGCTTGAGGCTCTAAAGAAAGCAGGTCT